GTAAAATTATCAAAGGCTGACTGGTCCGCGGCGATAAAAAGGTTGGGGACCACTGCTGTAGAGTAAAAACAGTTCAGCCTGGGAATTTGTAGCAATTTACCAGAATAGGGTACGTAGTCATTTTATACAAAATTCAGGAACTAATTTGTGAAATAAAGATATATAAATTTTAATATTGAGATTGCTAGAGAAAAATCTGTAACTATCCAACATTTGACACAAAACACATTTACCCTATGTTTCAATCCCATTGAAGTAAATAGTACTGGATAACTATCATGGAGATAGTTGGTGACTAGGGGAGGTTTTCTGTTCTTTGCTCCTTCACAAGGAAAGGAGTGTAAATATGTTCCTCTCAATTTCTGGAATCTGCCACTGTTATTAATAGAATGTTCTTCACGTGAGCTTTTATTGCTTCCCTCATCTGTGTTGGCAACATCTCCAGTGATGCCAAACAAACTAAAAATAATTTGCACAGCCAGTGAACATGGGATGTCAAATCAGTTGAGCTTATCAAAAAATCTACATTCAACAAATCACACTGTTGATGCACTTGGAAAGGCAATTCCAGAAGCAAATAATATTTACTGAGAAATGAAAAACTTAACGCCAGTTAAATGTTTTACTTTGATAGAATCTACATCCTACTTTTGATAAAGGAGATCTCAGATTGTGCCTTTGACCTTATTTGTGTTTGAGATTTTTCTTACAGAATGAATGAAGCTACATTTCTCCTTTGCTCTTTATAAAGAATTCTTTTGTTCAGTCATATAAATGAGGATATGTTAGAAATTAGTTTGGGGAGTCTAGTTCCTTCTGACATGGCAATTTCCAACTAGATGGTGGTTGATACCCCAAACCCAGCATTGTAGCCCAAGCAAAATCATATTGTGAATTTTTGTCACTAGAGTATCTTCGCTTACATCCTTTATTATTGTTAAATATCAAAGCTGTCTCATTTTTCATGGTTTTTGAAACCCTGTGGTTTCTGTGGTTAGTCTTTTAATATCTGGGATTTCAGGCGTTCTGATCTGCTAAAACTGAATAGGAAACATGTGAAACTAATAATTATATTTATCTCGGCAGTGGATCTTTGTCAGCCTGTGCTAGTAAGCCAGATAGAACGTGATGGCGACCCAGAGCCAGACTGGATCTTCCTGAGAGTCACTGCCCAACATGTTATGGAAGTGGAGCTGAAAGCAGCCAAGGTTTTACACAGGCTGGAACTACAAAGTCTTCAGAAAGCAGAGACATCAAAAATGCACTGGAAAAGAAAGGTGATTTCAGCTGTTTCCATGCCCGATTTATAATAAGCAGCCTATCCTGCAGACTAGTTTGTCATTGTTCAGTGGTTAACTGGATCTCTACGTATATGCATTCTTAATTCTGGGGATACCTGCAGTTCGGGTTTACATGCTAAGCTAAACTGTACTATGTTTGGTTTGATTTCGGCACAGCAAGTTGTGTGTATCTGGCCATAGTGCTTGGTAAGTTGAGACTTATGGCTTTTACTTTTTATGAATCAAGTTTTGTTGTTTAGTAAGTTTTGGCTTCAAGTGATTTGAGAACCTAGACACTTTCTAGAATAGCCAGTGGTACTCAGCTGAGGGTTATATTTGCTGTCTTGTTTTATCTCTCATTCTTGCATTGTAACCTATACACTGTAGGGCTGAAACAAAATATTTTTCTTTTTGAAGGAAAGCTATCTCCTTGAAGGAAAGCTTCAAAAACTTACTTCCCCCACTTCCATTGATTGCATTAGAGTTAGGAAATTAAAAGCTAAAACTAGAAAATTCACAGCTAAATCTGGCAGTTTCTGCATATGTGGCTATAGAAATTTGGAAACTGTAGAGAAAGCCTTTATGGTTTGGGCTCTGCCCACTTTCTGTTTAGTGTTGCTTCTTGCCACAGTTTTAATCCCTGGCAATTTATCATCCATAAAATGAGTGGATTTGGATTTGCAATAGGTTAGATCTGCTCTGTTGCCTGAATATTAATTATGAATATGATCAGAATGCATATGATTCAATTCTTTTACTTTGCCCAAGTCCAGCTTAGTGCGCCCAGAACTAACATCATCTGTGGTGGTGTAGTGGTAAGAATGCAGTATTGCAGGGTAATTCTGCTGACTGCCAGCGATTTGATTCTCACTGGCTCAAGGTTGACTCAGCCTTCCAAAGTCGGTAAAATGAGAACCCAGATTGTTGGGGGCAATATGCTGTGTCGGTAAACTGTTTAGAGAGGGCTGTAAAGCACTGCGATATATAAGTCTTAAGTGCTATTGCCATTGCTATTGCTATGCATAAGCAGCATTGTAGCAGGATCTCAGTGAGGTCTCCATGATAGTTTCTTGTAAGTTGTTTGAATGATACCTTTGCGTATTAAGGTGGCTGCATTGTCTGTTTCTTAAAGTGGACAATCTTTGAGGCACAATGAACTGTGTTTAAATCACAGAAAGGCAGTATGTAAGTACTAGTTAGAAACTGGGAATCAAAATCATTTTGTGATTTTTTTTTCATCTTGTGGAGGTAAAGTTGCTACTCATTATTAATAGAGATAGAAGCAAAATGTACAGTATAAATTCATGAGTCTTTTAATTTATAACATCCACAGATAAGATATTGGGTGACAGTCAGGCGCATAGGAATAAACTGATACTTAGTGATTTATTTTTTTTAAATAACGAGTCCGTATTTTTTTCTGATGGGAAAATTATTTCTTTTTGGAAACTAGGACCTGGAGCGTGAGTTTCCTGTTCTTACCCTCTATTTCGACTATATCAGCAAGGAGCGTCAGAAACGTTGCTATGTAGTATTGGATGATGATCCTGAATTGTGTATGAAGGTAAATATAAAGAAACTTTAAAATAGAAAGTTTTCCTGGGGTGGGAGGGACACAGTTTGAATCTTAATAACTTTTGGAGAAGTGTAATTGCTTCAATCCACTAACTCTTCTGAGTCGGCAAATGGGAGGTCCACAACAGGAAATGAAGACAAAAGTGTCCTCTTAATAGTTAGTTCCCCATCTTCCTACCTTATGCGTACAGTGCTGCAGCTTGGTCCTGTGGTGCCATGACTGATGAGCGTCTCTTTTCTCCTGTGTGCTNTTACCTCCCTACGACCGATCAGATCCCACAGATTAGGCCTCCTCCGAATTCCATCTGCCAGCCAGTGTCGACTGGCAACTCCTTGGAGGAGGGCCTTCTCTGTGGCTGCTCTGGCCCTCTGGAATGATCTCCCCATTGAGATCCGGACCCTCACCACCCTTCCGGCTTTTCGCAAAGCCACTAAGACCTGGTTGTTTCGGCAGGCCTGGGGCTGATGAATTTCCAGCCCCACTTGAATGTTGCGACTGTTGTTGTATTTTAACCTGTCTGTCTTTTATTTTCCTATTTGTATCCCCTTCCCTCCTTGGTTGTTAGCCGCCCTGAGTCTCTCGGGAATAGGGCGGCATATAAATTGAATAAACTACAACTACAACTACAACTACTACAACTTTTAATAATTTATTTCAACAATAAATCAAATGTGTAATTATTTAAATCATTATTATCCAATTATACCAAATAAAGTATATTTTTGTCAGAAGATAAAAATAACAGAAATTGGGTAATAAAATGGCTGCAAAAAACAATCAAGTTCAAAGAGCATCAAGGACTCACTGTTCAATCCTGAGCTACATAAAAATACCGAATTTCTAAGTTTCAAGAGAGATTTTGAGGGGGAAAGAGATTTGCAAGGGGAAAAGATTAGCCATTCAAATTTCCATCTCCTTTATTTGCAAGAGAGAATTCTAAAATTATATCATATAGCAATACATTCTAAAGCCTTAGGAACCATAAAGGAAATAAAGAGAAAACATTGGATAATTACACATTTAAATAAAGCATTGATGAAATCCTCATTATTTAAGAGAATGCCATACTAGTAGGATTTTGGTTTGATCCAGTGATGGGTTCCAGATCCCGTTCCAACCGGTACGGTTGGAACGGGCCCGGCGGCGTCCACATGGATGTGCACAGCGCACGCGTGCACGCCTTACCATTCAGCGACGCCTCCGCTAGCCTCCATGACGCTCCAGCTGCTTGGCAGAGCGTTGCACGGGTGCTGTATGCGCCCTGCGCGGAAGCGCTGAAGACTTTAAAGACCGGTAAGGAGTGTGGGCAGGTGGGTGGGCCCTCTGGAGCACCGTACCAGAGCGGTACCCAGTGCTCTGGGCAGGCTCCGGTACGCCCATACCAGGGCGTACCGCCTGCAACCCACCACTGGTTTGATCCTACTACTATTAAACCCCCATATTTTGTTTTCTGGGATTGATCCAAGGTCCTTTTACATTTAGAGACAGTAAAGCAAGCCATTGATATAAAATGAGCTTTTGTTAGTCACTACGAAAATAAATCATGTTGATTTTTATTAATCTTTTCCAAAGAGAAATAACAGGGGAAGCAAACATGTACTTAAAACTACGCTTAAAATAAGCTTTACTAAATAAGAATGACTAGCCAATCATGTGGTTTGGCTTAGCTGCCATTACTACATTTCTAAGCATGTTAGCTAAGTGGATTCTGCATAACATCGATTGCCATCCCTCTACCACATGTTTGGTGTTCATTCCATCTTCAACACAGCATATTCCCCCATTTCAACCCACAGACACTGAAGTTTCACATGCTTTTCTTTTTTCTTATATAAAAACACTATAAACCTTTCCTATATATTTAAAATGAAAACTGAGATTTTCACATTTTCATTATAAACCTGGCAGCTTCAGGCCTAAAAAAGAAAAAAAGTCAACCCCATAATCATTTTTGATTCTTGCTGTTAAAATAAACCTTAGAAGAGTTGGCTTCTCTGCACTCCACAAGTACATGTCCTATAGGATGAAGCTAAATATTCATTAAGCTTGCTGAAAAATAAAGAACCATTACGTCTCTATTTATAAGAATTATCACAGCTTTCATTTGTGGTATGAAATTATGCAGCTGCAAGCATTTATAATATACTGTATGTTAGCCATCTATAGAAGTTAAAAGTTATTGCAAAGCTACTGATTTTTAGCATGGGAACTTCCACCATTTTAATTGGTTTGCTGGAGCTACCTTTTTATAAGCTACTGTATTAATTCTTCACTGTTTCTACATTCCTCAGACAAGAACTCTTAGGTATTATAACTATTATTATAACTATTATAAGCAGATGGGTATTGACTCCTTCTCCCAGCACTAATCAAGCTGTCACCAGAGTTTGAAGGGCTGAAGACAGCTTCAAGAAAGGAAAAGAAAGGAAGGATAAAGTAATCACAGTCAGTTCCTACAGTCTATTTTGGCTTTAAATGAGAAAAAAAACTATCTCATAGAAAGGGAAATCAATTACCTATCAAAGTGTTGGATATATGTTCCTATGATGCTTCAATTTAGATTCTTAGTTTATATTTAAAATTAAGTCTGATGTAGAATTCAGTTTAAACTGGAAACCATTCCTCAGTTACATATTAAATCCATGGATTGGGTTTTTCAATGCATAGAATCCATATTTCAATTTTACAGGTATCTAAATTAAAACAATCCCTTAATAATATGGGCTCAATTTATTGCAACATATAATCTTAGCGATTTATACCGTATTGACCATGGGTCTTGATAACTATGTTTAGCTTAAAGCTTGATAGTGATTTTTATATTTTTAAACATAACATATTCAGTTGTTCTTGATTAATGACATACTGGGGAAATGTAATCTCTATGATATTTTAAATCCCTTGTTTCATTCATTCCTGTATTTTTTCTTTTTTTAAAATCTGTTTGTATATCTTTTTTTAATTGCCCGTAATTAAAGGCAAAAAGTCAATAATAATTTGGATTCCCATATTGAGCAGGGCATTGGACTAAATACCTGAATGGGGCCTTCCAACTTTATGATTCTATAAAACTTCTTAAAGAGTTTCGGCTTGATTCATCATTTAAAAACAATACACAGTTGGTCCTTGACTTAGACCAGGTTCCCCAAAGCTTCCAGCTTTGGGGACTGGCAGGGGAGAGGGGATGGTTCCACACAAGCAGCCAGCAAGTGTGCGTGCACATATGTAGCTCCATTTGTGCGAGCGGTGTGCCACTCACGCAAATAGAGCACACATGCACACTCACTATTTCCACAGCCGAGTTGTAAATAGCTCACAGCCCATTAATGGGCTGCAGCTCAGCAGTTAGGGACCCCTGAGTTAGACCACAACTGGGAACAGAATTTCCATTACTAAGCGATAAGATCATTAAGTGAGTCATGCCTGACTTTACTAGCTTTTATTTTTACTAGCAGTTATTAAGTGAATCATGACATCATTAAGCCAAATCTGGCTTCCCTTATTGAGTGTGCTTGTTGTAAGCCCCCTGGGAAATTTGCAAATGACAATCACATGATCCTGTGAAGTTGCAATCTTTGTAAATAAACATTGATTACCAACAATGTTCCCTCTAATTTTTTTCCAGTGTGAGAGGAAAAGTATAGTGTTTGAGCGGCACATTTTCATGCCTGAGCACCTGAATTTTTTTAACAGATGTCACCTAAGACAACAACAAAATCAGTATTATTTGAGAAAGTTGTTTATTCAAGGTAGCCGCTTAATTAAAAGTGTTATATAATATCAGTATCACTTAACAACGGTCCTGCTTA